GCCGCCGGCGCTGCCGCAGGGCCCGGCCATGCCATGGGCTCCGCCGAGCGGGGCCGGCTGCTCCTCGCCGCGCGCGGCGCCTCCTCCTCCTCCTCGCGGCTCCCACAGAGCGGGATTCAGGCTGGCGTTGCCGTGGCAACCTGCGCTGCCTGTGCATCAGCGAGCGGAGCGGCAGGGGCGGATTCGGGCGCAAAGGAAGGCGCTCGTCCCACACGGGCCTCGCGCAGGGAGCCCGGCACCGCGCGCGCACAGGGGCACGGAGTGTCCCTGGCCCAGATGTGTCCTGTCCTGCACAGCTGCCTGTGCCACATGTGTCCTGCACCGCACAGCTGGCTGTCCCCAGATATAGCCTGTCCCACACATCTGGCTGCCTGTGTGCCCCTGGCCTGCACAGCTGCCCATGCCCCATGTGCCCTGCGCTGCACAGCTGCACCCCCAAATGTGTCCTGCCCTGCACAGCTGCCTGTGCCCCATGTGTCCTGCCCTGCACAGCTCCAGCCCTTGCCCAGATGTGCCCTGCTCTGCACAGCCGGCCGTGTCCCGTGTGTCCCTGCCCCACACAGCTGCACCCCCAGATGTGCCCTGCCCTGCACAGATGGCTGTGCCCCCGTGTGCCCTGCTCTGCACTGCTGGGTGTCCCCAGGCCAGGCCTCCCTGTCCCACGGGCAGAGCCACCCATGAGCAGGGGTCCTGCAGACCCAGGCTCTGGGCAGGACTGTCACGGTGCTCCAGGGCACAGGGCACCACGGGGTACAGGGCACCACGGGGCACAGGGCACCACGGGGCACAGAGCGCCGTGGGGCACAGAGCGCCATGGGGCACAGAGCGCCGTGGGGCACAGAGCGCCGTGGGGCACAGGGCACCACTGGGCTCAGGGCACCACAGGGCACAGGCGCCCACACCTTCCAGAGGCCCCTTCCTTGGGCAGCAGCTCCAGGCACAACCGCCACGTGGGACAGGAGCCCGGCAGCCGCCACGTCCCTGCGGGGGCTGTTCCCCACCCGGGCACCCCCACCATGCCCAGCATCCCTACTGGGACTGCTCTAACCCCAGAGCGCCCCGGGGACCATTCCCCACTCTGACACCCCTGCACAATCACGGGGTCAATTCTCCACTACGATTCCCCCACACCCGTGTGGGTGCCACCCGTGGGTCTGCACCGTGAGAGCCCCCACATCCCAGGGGACCTTCCGACAGGGTCCCTCCTGCAGCCCGGGGGGCAGCTCTGCACCAGGACCGCTCCTGCACCCGTGGGGCCATTGATCACGACAGCCCCGGCACCGAGGACACCCCAGAGCCCAGGACACCCCAAAACCAGCAGGAACAGCTCCACCACAACACCCCTGCACAGGCGGCAGGAACAGCTCCACCACAACACCCTTGAACAGGCGGCAGGAACAGCTCCACCACGACACCCCTGCACAGGCGGCAGGAACAGCTCCACCACAACACCCCTGCACAGG